GACCACAGCCGCCTCCGGGGGGAAATACACTCAGCCCCCAGCGGGAGGCTCACAGAGTCCTGTGGGGAAGGGTGTGCCGGCGGGAGGGGAGGGCCAGGATGATGGTGGCCCTCTCCCCGCTGGGAGCCACCCTGGGCCGGGAACAGGAGATGTCAGGATGGCCACTTTGCAGAGAGGTCAGAGGATCTATCGCCAGCCCCAGAAGGTGGGCCTGCACTCCTGGCCACCTGCTCTCTAAGCTTCATGCCTGGCCCACCAGACCAGACCTGTGCCACCCGTCCTGGATGCCCCGGGTTCTGGGCTCTCTAGCCGGCGAGTCAGACCTTGAGATGTAACATTTCCAGAATGCCCAAGACACACACACAGAAACAGGGAGAGACAAGCAGAGAGAGAGTTAATTTTTGGCCAAACTTAGGAATTCTGGAGGAAAAAAACTATATGGTTATATTTTTAGCGCTAAATGGTGCTAAAAGCGTTTTTTGGCACCCTTTAGAGAGTGAAAGTTGCTGGGTTAGTTTGGGGACAGAAAGCTGAAGGGTGCTGCGTGTCGCCGGTTTCGTCCGTGCACTCTCTTCTGGCAGGTCTGGCTGCTGCCCCAGCACGTGCATCTGCCATCCCCGCACGTGCTTAAACGATGGTAGTCCCCGGGGAGAAGCAAGCCCGGAGCTCTCCCCTGGGCGTCTGGTCCTCTCGGCAGCTCTGCAAGCCCCAGAGTCCCCGAGACGGGGAGACAACGTCATCACAGAGGAAGCCAGCTGGCCGATGCTGAGACCTTTCTCTTTTTCTCTGGAAGAAGTTGAGGGGTCGACATCCTGACATGCAGTCAGCCCTGAAGGATTACCACGCATGGACATGATCACCTCGTTGCGCTCCCAGCCACGGGCTAGGAATGGCCATGAAACCCCCCCACCCCGCCCCGCAGCTATGGATACTGTGGGAGCTGTCTGCTGAGGTGCCTTCCAGGAAAGAAGGCTTTAGTCTTTAGAAGGAGACAGGGGGAGCTTGTTTCCCTGCTCCTCTTCTTCCGGATGCTGCCATGTCTGGATGTGATATGATGCCTGGATCCTGGCAGCCATCTTGTGTCACTGAGGGGGCCTGCCTGAGGGCAATGCTGACATTTATTGTGTGCCAGGCAGGCCCTGTGCTGAACATATGCCGTCGGTTGAATGCCTTCTAGGTCTTCCTGTGTACCAGGTCCTGGGGACACGGTAGAAGCAGGCCTGTTCCCACCCTCCAGGAGGTCCCAACTGGGGAAGGGTCATGGGGGCCCACGATGGCCACACAGCACGAGGAATGACAACAGAGGCCTAGGGGGCTGGGGGAGCACCTCCCTGCCATTCACCTGCTGTTCCTCCAGCTCCTCATTCTGCGGACAAACGCTCTTTCTCCATCTGGGCTCCGTGCCAGCTCCCCAACCACAGTGACAGCAGCATATGTGGACGCAGCGCCTTCTGCCATCAGCTCATTCTGTCCTCATAGGACCCTCCTGTCCTCATAGGACACTCTCATGAGGAGCGTCCTCCCCATTTTGTGGTCAGGGAAACCAGGACCAGGGCAGTGATGGCGGCGATGGGATTTTTAGCTTTTGCATTTAGCTTCTCAGGGTGAGCAGGCCACAACAGGGCTTGCGTGTCCTAAAGTTGTCACCTGTGCCCCAAGCACTTCTGTGCCCAGTTACCTCCATTCCCCAGGGCCCTCTGCGCTGGATCCGGCCTCCTCTCTGCCCCCAGAGCCCTGTGGACAGAGTTGAGGCCTCCTCCTCACGCTCTCCCCCGTCTCCCGCTTTGAGAGAGTTACGATAACTTTGTAGGCACCGCTGTGCCCGTTGTGCGGAGGAGAACCCTGAAGCCCAGAGGGGAAGAGACCGGAGCAGGCACAGACAGGCGGGAGGGTGGACCCGGGACCCACCCAGCTCTGCCTGATCTCAAAGCCCAGGGTGGGGGTAGAGGACGGTGGGCCCGGAAGGCAGGCCGTTTCCATGGAGGACAAAGAGGGGAGGGGAGCGAGCAGAGCCTGTTGGGAAACTGCCTGTGTTCACAGGGCCGCACTCACCCCAGGGGCAGGCGGGGCTGCGGTGAGTTTAGGCAGGGGGCGCCCAGGCAGATCTGCTAGCAGCAGAGCGGGGACGGGGCAGCTGAGAGGAGGAGAAGCAGGGCGGGGAGGGGGCAGCTGAGAGGAGGAGAGGCTGGGGCGGGGAGGCAGGGACCTCATCCAGGGTGGAGGCTCCGTGGGTGGAGAAGAGGGCCAGGGGGAGGCCGGAGACATGAGACAAGAGGGGACGGATTCACGGGAACTGGGGGACTGGCAGGTGTAGGGAATGGGGTGAGGGGGCCCCGAGCAGGGGACCTTGGTCGTGCAGGAGCAAGTGCGTCCCTGGGGGCCAGAGGAG